GGCAGCAGCCGGGCCGGGCCCGGGGGCTCCCCGCGGTACCGCCGCCCCACGGACCGGCCCCCCGCGCCCCGTGTCCGGCGCCCCACAGCCCAGCCCGCGCCCCACATCCCGGCCCGCGCCCCCCGTCCCGCACGCGAACGCCCTCCTCCCGCCGGGAAGCTGCGGGCGCCGGGCCCTGCCGGCCGCCCCGCTCCCGTCCCGGCGCTCCAGAGTCCCCCGAGGGCCCCTGGGGGGCTGGCAGGGGGGACCCTGGACATACAGGGTGGCCTCTCCCTCCCCGTCATGGTGCCCCCCGTCCGGCCCTACACGGCTGCGCTCCCGGGCCTCTGCTGCCCCACAGCAACCCCCAGATGCCCCCGACAGCCCCAAAGTGCCCTCACAGGCCCCCAAAGCGCCCCACGACACCCCAAAGTGCCCCAGAGAGCCCCAGGCCTCTGCCACCCTGCAACCCCCCCGAGGAGCCCACGCGGGACCCCAGGCTCTGCTGCCCCCCACACTCCCCAGAGCACCCCACAGCCCCCCAAACTGCCCCAGGGAGCTCCGGGGCCGCGGGTGCTCCCCAACAACCACCAAGCGCCCCCAAAGCGCCCCCAAGCGCTCCCGGAGCCCCGCCACCCCATAGCTCCCCCCAAAACGTCCCACAACACCCCAAAGTGCCCCAAGGAGCTCCCGGGCCTCTGCTGCCCCATAGCTCCCCCCCCCAAGTGCTGCACAGGGCCCCAAAGCGCCCCAACAACACCCCGAAGTTCCCCGAGTTGCTCCTGGGCCTGTGCCGCCCCACAGCAACCCCGGGGTGCCCCCAAACACCCCCAAACACCCCCCAAGCGCCTCACGGCGCTCCCGAGCCGCTGCCGCCCCATAGCTCCCCCCAAGCACCCCCCAACGTGCCCGAATCGCCCCACGGAGGGAGCCCCGGGGCCTCCGCCGCCCCCGACGACAACAACAACAACCCCGCGCTCCCCCCCAAAAAAGCCCCCCCCAAAAGTGCCCCGCGCAGCGCCGGGGCC